CCCTCTTCCAGTTTTAATCCATCCCCCTTGTCCTCTCCCTCCCTGCCCTTGTCCCAAGCCCCTCCCCAGCTTTCCTGGAGCCCCTTCAGGCACTGGAAGCTGCTCTAAGGTCTCCCTGGAGCCTTCTCTTCTCCAGGCTGAACACCCCAACTCTCCCAGCCTGGCTCCAGAGCAGAGCTGCTCCAGCCCTCCCATCATTTCTATGCCCTCCTCTGCACTGGCTCCAGGAGCTCCATGTTCTCCTTATGCTGGGGGCTCCAGAACTGGACACAGTTCTCAAGGGAGGTCTCATGAGAGCAGAGGAGACAATCCCCTCCCTGGCCCTGGTGACAGAGCCCAGGACACGGGTTGTTTCTGGGCTCTAGCACGTGGGGCTGGCCCATGTTGAGCTTCTCCTCCACCATCACCCCCAAGTCCTTCCCCTCAGGGCTGTCACTGTTCACAGCAGGACCAGGGGAAGCAGTGGGAACATAACCCTGTCTCTCCAGTTCTTGTTAGACATTGCAAGGCAGAAGAACCAGACCCCCCTGCCCCTGATCAAGCCTTATTCTGGGCCCAGGCTCCCACCTGACAGGTACTGCTTGACAGCCCCCAACTACAGGCTGAAGTCCTTGCAGAAGAAGGTAAGGGCAGGATTCTCCTCATGGTTTGGCAGGAATGTTCTTGGATTCAGAGTGTTCTGAGGGGTGGGCACATAGTGACTGGGGGGACGTGCAGAGGGTCCTTGCAATGAGCCCAGTTGTTGTTCCCTGTGCAAACCCTTCCCCTGGGTGTCAGTTCCAGGAGCAAAGGGTCCTAGACATGCACCTGTGAATCTTCCTGGTGTTAAAGCAAAGTTGGTGAGTTGAGTATCAGGCTGTGAAAAAGCTTCAGGATGGATATTTAAGGGTGTTTGGTGCCTGGATCTCAGTTGTTGCTGCTTTGGAGGTGAGAGAACGAGGTTTCCTGTGCTGGTGGGTGTCTCAGTGGGCAGGGTTCAGGTTTGCTTCCCTCACTTTAATGAAAGGGGTTTAAAAGCCACCCTGAAGGCAGGACCCCAGTTGCTGGGACCTGCTGGAAACCTTCTAGTGCCTTTTTTTCTGCTTGAAACCCACCTGATGGACCCAAGTGCCAGGGGGGCTGTTCCCTGAGCTCTGGCACCACCTGCTCCCAGGGCGCTGGTGCCAACCTGGGGGCTCTGAGACCCTCCCTGTGGGCACAGCCAAGCCTGTGGTGTTGCTGTGGGGTGGGCTTAGGGCTTTCTGCAAGGAGGAACCATCTCCTCTTGGCCCCTGTGCAGGGCTGTTGGTTTCCCATGGGATGCTGAACTGCTTCTTCTCTCCCCCAGGTCTCCTCCTCTGCAGGGAGGATCACGGTCCCTCGCCTGAGCGTCGGGGCAGTGAGCAGCAGGCCCAGCACCCCCACTCTAGGTAGGAACCTGCCCACCTTGGTTTCATGCAAGATCCTTCATTTCATCATCACTGAAACCATTGGAACCCACCCCTGCAGTCCTGCTGGTCCCCCCTGCCCTCAGCATCCCTTGGCAGCTCAAGCACCAGCAGCAGGGAAGCTCAGGGCAGGGAGGGCGTTGTTCTCTGGGGTGTGGGCAGAGGTGACTGAGCTCCTGGGCTTCTCTTCCTGCTTTGGGGAGCATTTCTGCACATGAGGAGGCTGCCCAAGGAGCTCACAGGAGTTGGAGGGTTTTCCCCAGTGAAGGCACCAAACTGAAATACCAGGAACATGAAGTACCTTGGTAAAAGGTTCACAACACCCAGGCCTGGGCACCTGCCTCAGGGGGTGTTTCTGCAGCCTGAAGTGACAGTGACAGTGGTTAGGACAGTGCAGTTCTGCCTGGAAATCCAGCTCCTCTGTGTCCATCTGTGTGTTCTGTTCCCACTGCTTTGGAAGTCACAGAATCCCAGAGTGGTGGGGTTGGAAGGGACCTCTGGAGATCTTCTAGTCCAACCCCCTGCTAGGCCAGGATGCCCTAGAGCAGATCCCACAGGAACACATCCAGGTTTGGAATGTCTGCAGGGATGGAGACTCCACCACCTCCCTGGGCAGCCTGTCCCAGGGCTCTGGGACCCTCAGAGTCAAGAAGGATTTTCTCATATTCAGGTTCAACCTCCTGTGCTCCAGTTTGTGCCCATTGCCCCTTGTCCTGTCCCTGGACACCCCTGAGCAGAGTCTGGCCCATCCTCCTGCCACCCCCTGGAGATACTGACCAGCACTGATCAGACCCCCCCTCAGCCTCCTCCTCTCCAGCTGAGCAGCCCCAGCTCTCCCAGCCTTTCCTCAGGCAGATGCTCCAGCCCCTTCAGCATCTCAGTGCCCTGGGATGGACTCTCTTCAGTAGCTCCTTGTCCTTCTGGAACTGGGGAGCCCAGACCTGCCCCCAGGGCTCCAGGGGAGGCCTCCCCAGGGCAGAGAAGGAGCAGAACCTCCCTTCACCTGCTGCCCACCCTCAGGGCACCCCAGGACCCCCCATTGTCCTCCTTGGCCACTTTATTCCCCCACGTTCATCCCATTGCCCACGGGGACTCCAGATCCTTCCCCACAGAGCTGCTCCCTGGGTCAGGTCCCCAGGCTGGGCTGTTCTTCCCCAGATGGAGCAGCCTCCTGCTGCCCTGGGGAAGCCCAAGTCTCTGATGTTGCCTCCTGCCCTGTGTTCCAGGCACCCCCTCTGCACAGGCCGTGTCTGTCTCAGCCAAGGTGGGCGCCCCGGTGTCGCTGACTGGCCAGAGGTTCACAGTCCAGATTCCCTCTTCCCAGGCTGCAGTCAAGTCAGGTACCACAGCCCAGCAGCACTGGGCTTCTCCTTTGCACCAGCACCAAGGTCAACTCATCCCAGAAATGTGGGAAATCTGGGGTTTCATTCCAATTTGGAGCAGGGGGTTCCAGCCAGACCTCCCTTCCCCACTGGCGTTCTCCCCTCCTCCCTGCTTCCCTCTCTGGAAGGGACCTGGAACCTCTGGATCCTTCCAAGGTTTTCACCCTGGAATGTTCTAGTAACATCCTGTTTATTGGGTTGGAAGTTCAGTGGGAAAATTCACTGCCATTAGTTCAGGCTTTTCATTCAACCATTTCTTCACAGCCACACCAACAACTCCAACAGTTCAGAATGTTCTAATTAATCCTTCCTTGATTGGACCAAAGAACATTCTCATCACGACAAACATGGTGTCCTCACAAAATGCAGCTGCTGAATCAAATCCCTTGAAGAGGAAACATGAAGATGATGATGACTATGACAACCTGTGACCAGACTGTCCCCTCCCCTTCTGCTCTTCAGGGGCTGAGGAGGGTGGGTTGTTTTTTTTTATGCCAAGAATCCTTTGTAAACAGTGAGAGGGTGTGTAAATATCATGCCAAGATGCAGCTGGGTGGGGAGTGAGGGAGGTGATGGGTGGTGGGAAGAGGGAAGAAGTGGGTCCTGTGGGTTGTGGTGACCTTGGAGGCTCAGAAGGGCTGGCACCGCTCTGTGGCACAGGAGCCTTCCTGCCTCTGCTTTCGTGTCACTGTCCCCAGGCACTGGGGGAGCTGCTCCCTGCCAAGGAAACATCAGAGCGGGGGGGGTGGTGTGATATGGAGCTTCTTCCTCTCTGAGAACATGGAGAACAACCCTGGGAGAGGTGGGATGTGGCTGGGGAAGATCAGGCCTTGTTGACCCCTGACTAGATGTGCTGCTTCCAGGTGGTGGTGGTGGCTCCTCATTCCAGTGGGTGGGAAGGGTGGATCTCCAGGGTAGTGATGCAGAGCAAAGGCAGAGGAGGGGGTTGCTGGAGACCTTCTCCTCAGGGCAGCCTTCCTGCTGGGATGGATACCCCAGAGCTCCATGGGGAAAAGCCCAGCCGTGGTTTTTGTTCTGTATTTGCTTCCAAAGAGCTGCACCTTCAGCTTGTGCTGGGCTGTGACTGGAATTAAGAGTGAATAAAAGTGGGGTTTTCTATTAACCAAGGAGCCAAAGTGTGTGTCTGGGAGAGCTGGGATGGAGAGCTGGGTTGGGAGAACTGGGATGGGAGAGCTGGGATGAGAGAGCTGGGATGGGATGGGCTGGGAGAGCTGGGATGGGAGAGTTGGGCTGGGTTGGGCGAGCTAGGTTGGGATGGGAGAACTGGGATGGGCTGGGAGAGCTGGAATGGGCTGGGTGAGCTGCTGCAGGCAGCCCTGTTGAGCTGGGCTGGCACAGGGTCACAAGCACCGGGACACACATTTATGTACCAAAAATTCCATCTTCCCCTCTTAAGCTCTCCCAGGCAGCTGCTCTTTCACAGGGATAAAAACCAGCATCACAGTGTGTGCATGGAAAATCCAGTCATGAATTCTGCACACACCTAAACACCCTCCCCCCTCCCTTTATGTTTAACAACCTCTATACAATACACACACTTGTATCACACACACTCGTGCACTTACCCTTGCACACAGCCAGAGGTATTTTTACTCTCTGAGCAGTCTCACCCTTTTTCTCCAGCTGTGTCACACCCAGCAGGGCTTGTCAGGGGATTGACTATGTCATCTGGGACTGTTATACACACCCACACTCACAGTTTCTACTTCTCTACTGACCAAGTAGAGGTGTATAAATAAACCATGAAGTCCTCTCACACCCCCTTTCCAAGAGCACAGAATATACTTGTGTATTTTGACATTGCATTTATACCAAGGCAAAGATCAACACCAAGGGCTCCTGCAGCCCCAAGGGACCCTCCTTCTGCACATTTAGGTCCTTATTCCACTGGAGGAGAAACCAAAAATGACATTTGAACCAGAGGTCTCTTTTTTTTTTCCATGCTGGGACTCAAAACCTGGGAGAGGAGGAAAGGGAAGCAGCACCCCCCTGCTTTTTGAGGGCAGAAAAGGAGCTGGGAAATGGGCTGACATTCCACTGTCATTATACCCAGAAACATAAAAGTCAGGGCTTTTAATCTTTATTTTATTAAGAGCTACAAACAAGTTAAAATGACTAAAAGTTCACATCTCTAACTTGGTTGAACAAGGACAGAGCAGCACCCCAAAGGGCACAGGAAGTGACCATTTCATGTCTCCTTGCTCTTTTAAGACTACAGCCAGTGTCCCCTCAGGGCCAAGCACCAGCACAGCTCCCAGGACACCTTGGAACAGGCTCCTCAGCCTGGATTGGAACAGGTAGTGCCCAGGTTTCCAGTGCAAATGCCAAGTTCTTTTAAGATTATGAATCAAACTGTACCTAACGAGTTCACAGCTCAGGAAGCAGCTGGAATGAGCAACCTGGATCAATCACCTCCACTCACCACAGAAGTTCCAGAGAAGTTTCTACCATGGGCCCAAGTCCCACACATACAAATATTTACAAAGAATTGGACACAATCTAGACCTACTGGTGTTTTAATTCCCCTGCTGAGGGCAGGAGCTGCCAGGCATGACAGTCACCAGGCTTCTGCTGCAGCAAGAGATCCCACCACATCTTAAAAAGTCACCAGCAAGATGGTCTAAGGAGAACTCAGTCATGGGGCACTTGCTGGGCTCCTCAGTACAGCTCCTCTTTGATAGGGGTGCAACCTGAGAAGAAGCTGGTGTTGCTACTCAGCATCCTCTTCTTCCTCCTTACAAATGGGATTTGGTTCTCTTGGGACTCCTCATCTCCCACCAGCAGGGAAGCAGCACTGCTGGGCTTCTTCAGGAAAATACCGTGGTCTGTGATATCCTTCAGGACCTACCAAAAAAGCAAGGAAGACAATTTGGGAGTTGGTCACTGGAGCAGCCAGTCTGCTCAGGCTGGAGCCTGAAGGCAGCACAAGAAGTTGCCAGGCTAACATGAAGAGCTGCTCCATTTTTTTACCCAAGTCAGAAGTCTAAAGATAAACTCAAAGGCTGAGGAGACAGGGGGCACACGTGGGGTCAGTGGATTTGATCACCCACAGCCAAATTACAGCTGTCAGGGGGGCAATTGCTTCAGAACAGGGAGTTTGGACACAGACAGGTATGATTTTATCATATGAGCTCTTCAGTAACATCTGTTACTGCTGGAAGGTGCAGTAGGAGAACATGGGAAGCCTGTGTAGCAAAGTTTTCCTGGGAAAACTTCAGAATTCAGACTCAAAACTTCAACACAAGCTGCCTTGGCAGCTGTTCTGTCCAGAATCTCCTGGCAGCAGCCTGCCATTGGGGGAGTTTCATCACCAGCTGTAAAGAAGGTGTACACACATCAGAGCCACCATTCCAGAGCTGGGCCAGTACCTTTGCAGTTGGTGTGACACACACAGGCTCAAAGAAGGTCTCTCCTGCAGTCACTTCAGTGGGGTCTTCAAGTTTGAAGGAGCCTTCAGAGTCCTTTGTTTGGTCCCCACCCGGCGTGGCATCCTGAGGGGCAGGACTGGGTTGAAACACTTCAACATCCACCCCTTCCTTCCCCACCAACAGCTGGAGCTGGTCCCTAAGGCACCTTCTCCCCAGTTGTGAAGCAATTCCCAGCCCAGGGTGCTGGATGCCCTGCCAGGCTTTCTCAAATGATTAAAGAACTGCTATGGGAGGTTTCTGTGCTGCAAACCCAAGATCTGGCAGGAAGGCAGACATTTCTAGCAGGACTTCTAATGAACATCAGCTGCTTATGAACCTCCTTGATGCCACAGCCCTTCCCCAAATGTATCCTTTTTTTTTTTTTTTTTTTAAAAAAAAAAAAAGGGATCCAAGGAGTTCAGGGTTTAATTGTTTTGGGTTGGAAGGGACCTTAAAGATCATCCAGTCCCAACCCCCTGCATGGGCAGGGACACCTCCCACCAGCCCAGGCTGCTCCAAGCCCCATCCAACCTGCCCTTCAACACTGCCAGGGATGGGGCAGCCACAGCTTCCCTGGGCAACCTGGGCCAGGCTCTCACCACCCTCACAGGGAAGAATTTTGTGCCACCTGAAGCTAAAAACATTTATTTGCTTGGTGTAAAAGACTTCTTGTTTGCCTTCAGAGCAGAGAGTGGGTAAAGCTGCCTGGCCTGGGACATCATGCAAGTTCCCACACTCAGGGCAAGAGCTTGGTGCTGTCCTGGAAAGCTGTGTGTGCAGTTACCACAGCTCAACACTGAGTGACAGTGACAAGTGCTCCAGAGAGGGGCATGTGCTTCAGCTTGAGGAGACACAGCATAACCATGGAGCTTGAAGGAGCTGGGAATGTTTAGCCCGAGGAAGAGGAGGCTGAGGGGAGACCTCATCAGTCTCTGCAACCACCTGAAAGGTCATTGTAGAGAGGTTGAAGAGTGGTCAGACCCTGGAACAGGCTGCCCAGGGAGGTGGTGGAGTCACCATCCCTGGGTGTGCTGAAGGGTCATTTGGATGTGGTGTTGGTGGAGGTGGTTTAGGGGAGAACTTTATAGAGCAGGGATGATGGTTGGGCTGGGTGATCCCAAGGGGCTTCTCCAACCTGAATGGTTCTGTGCCTGATCCCATCCCCTCAGCCTGCTCCAGCTGCAGTGCTACTCACCTGGAAACTGGGATCTCTGTTCCTGCATTTTGCAGAGTCACAGCTGCAGCCTTCAGTGCAGCCCACCTTCTGCTTCCTGCAGCCACAATGCCTGTTGCCACAGTAGCCCTTGCAGGAGCACTAGGGAAGGGAAGAGTTCTGTGCAGAAAGAGCTTCAGTGTTTTATGGACTGCAGCCAGATTGTCACTGCTGCCAGTGCCTGAGGCAATCTAAGGGCCAGGAATGTCCCCAGGCTGCCATCAATTCTGGTTTCACTGCCAGTCCTGCAGCCCAGGAGAAGAAACAAGGTCTTCCCACCTCCAGAGCCATCTCTTGCTTCAGCATCCCCAAGAGAAGCACCTTCAATCTCTCAGTCCCTAAGCCATCCAAAAGGACATCAGCTGCAGTGTCAGCCAAGCCACCATGTGAGCACTGGAGACCAACCTGAGTCCCCCAGATCTGGGGCACCTCCATCTAGATGGAGGTTACAACTGAGCTACTTCATGGCCTGTCAGAGTAATGAACCTGCTAATCCAGGAAGGTGCAGCAGCAGCTTGCACAGCCCAGCTGCTCCAACCTACACTTCTGAACTCAGTGGTTTCCACTGGGCTTCACAAATTTGGCTCTTCCACGTCCATGCCAAGCACAACCCCCGCCCCTTCCTGCAACATGGCCCTCAAGAACTCCCCCAAACCCAAACCACCTGCACAGGCAGCAGAACAGAACATGCCTCTCCCAGCAGATGACCTGTCCAATGAAAATCTACTCAGGAAGGCACTGCTGAATGTAGAGAACTTCTGCTTTTTCAGCAGAATATGACAGACAATCAGTGCCAGCAGCACTGAAGCTGTTCAGAACAACAGTGCAGACACCATCATCTCCCTGTTCTCTCCACTAGATCCTTAGGGATATACAGGCAAGCGAGTCCCTTGTAAGAAGGCAAAGGTAACTGGATCTTACCTTGATCATGTTTTTCTTTGTCCCTTTGCTTGGTTTTACTGGAACCCAGTCTGCATCCTCTGCCTCCTCTTCAGACTCCCCTGAATCAGAGAAGAGCAGCTCTTCCACATGTATCTGTGGGGTTAGTGGCCGGGGTTTGGCCGTGGTTCGCCGGCGCGTCTTGGGCTGCACACAGAAATTCCAAGGGTTAAGGCTCCAGAAGAAACAACAGTGGGTTGACATTGTATGAAGGCACTTCAGAGTCCCACCAGCATAGCCCCAATTCCTGTCACACAGCCAAAAGGCTGGAGGGGTTGAGGAAGAGACAAAAGACCCTGTTGTCAGGGGTTAAAATTCAAGCTGTCGGTTTAAACTGCTGATGTTGGTGAAGATACAGAGCTGATAAATGCTTGGAACATTGATGGCTTTGTGTCAGTCTTGGCCAAGCAGCTCATAGAATGGTGAGGGTGGGAAGGGACCTGAAAGATCATCTAGTTCCACCCCCTGCCTGGGCAAGGACATCTCCCACCAGCCCAGGCTGCTCCAAGCCCCATCCAACCTGCCCTTCAACACTGCCAGGGATGGGGCAGCCACAGCTTCCCTGGGCAACCTGGGCCAGGCTCTCACCACCCTCACAGCAAAGAATTTGTCTTCATGTCTAACAAATCTCCCCTCTTCTTTGTAAAAAACAACTAAGGAGGAAGAAACCAAGACTATTAACAGCCAACGCTAACTTTTGAAAGAGAACCCAAGTACAACACAAGCATGGAAACTGATGCACAGAATCATTACTTTGGGTGGAATGTAATCAAAAGAAGAATCTGAGGACTCTTGGGACGTTTGCTGGATGTGACGGAGCTTCTGTCCACTGGCAACTTGGAGGAGCAGCATTTTCTGTGGAGAAGAACACAAGTCAGCTCTGCAAAATGCAGTAACCCAACTGCCAAGAAGCTGTCATGACTGATGTCTGTCCTGGTCTCTACCTGCTTAAGAGTGTCATTTTCCTGGAGAAGTTCTTGGTTCTTCTCACACATCTCCCTCATTTTCTCCAGCTCTTCTTCCTGTGGGCAAGACAAGATGAGATCTGCAGGATGATGTGGGGGTAGCACAAGGAGTTTGTTGGGACAGATTTTTCTATTTGGCTTTCTTGCAACACCAGAGACATTTCTTTGTAGCCTCCATCAAGGAAATCAGCTCTGACTTCTAGATCAAGAAAGTAATTAGTGCTACCACCTTTTTTATGCAGAATGTTGCCAACACAATGTGAGCCTCTCAGGGTGACCCCTGGAGATCTAAACCTCTCTCTCTTGAGGGTTTGTCTCTGAATCAGGGATAATTAGGACTGATTTTGCTTTAGTACAGCACTGAACATGCCCTTCCACAGGAAGGCTCCACAGGAGCTGGCTACACTTGTTTCTAAGAGAATTAAGACAAAGTGCAGCTTCTAAAACATTCACATGGTCAAGGTGAAGTTCTTCCTTTGCTGATAGCACAATGGAGCTAGAGTCATAGAATCATGAAGGTTGGAAAGGACCTTAAAGATCATCCAGTTCCAACCCCCCTGCCATGAGCAGGGAACCCTCTCGCTAGACCAGGTTGCACAAAACCTCATCCAACCTGGCCTTAAAAACCTCCAGGGATGGGGAATGTTGAATATCCTAATTCAAGGTTATTCTGAGCATGGAAGACATTTGCATGAGATGGTTAGATTGTGGTAGGAATCTTAGCTGCAAATGGAAATGCTCCCAATCTTTCTGCATCTTCCTCTCTCCAAAGCCACTATTCCAGGTAACAGGAAGCCCTAGTGAGCACCCATCCTCCCCCCCAAGCCACATCCAGACACTCCACCTGGAACTTGAGTCTTTCTTGCAGCTGCTTCTCTTGCTCATTTAGTGAATCTTCCAGTTTCTTCTCTGCTGCTTCTTTTTGCTGAAGTTGGCTGAGCAGGTACAGAACCTACAGGAGGTTAAATACAGCAGAGCAAACAGGAGTGAATTCCCAGAGAGATCTCTCAGTTCAGGCATTAAAGGCCCTGACAATGTCAGAAAGATTCTTCCTGCCACTTCCAGCATGATACTGAGCTGATCTACTTGAAAAGTTACCTTGTGCTCAGGTATAACCTCTTCACTTAGGACATTGTGAGAAGTTATTCAATAACACAACTTGCATGGTACAGAAGAAGAATTAGGGAGATTTCTTGGGCTTTTGTTAATTTATCCTGCAGGATTCTAACAATTCTTGCTCAGCTGCACAGCAACAGAGTGGTTGCAACACATCCCCTCTGCTTTTATGTCTGAGCAGACCTGGGAATCCCAAGCCACAAGAGCTCAAGACATCTATCTCTTAGGTTCTACCTTCTCCTGGTGCTGCTGTTCCTGCACCACGAGCTGGTTTTGGAACTCAGCCTCCATCTCTGTTAGGTGGTTCTTCTTTTCCATCAGCATCTTCTGGATGTCTGAGCAGGTGGCTTTGCTCTGCTGGAGGCTGCTCTCCAGCTTGCTTTCCTGCACCTTTGAGGACACCAGCTGGAAGACACAAAGCAAGAGGATCACTTGGATCAAGGGGTTCCATGGTTTGTAATGGCTGCTGGGTCAGGTGTGCTGCAATCTGAAGGTGAAGCTTTCCTGGTTAACATCCAGCCACCCCCTGAACTGGACTGGCCAGCAAGGAGATTAGAGACAGGGAACCTGACAGCCAGCGAGGAGAGCAGAACTGACAGGTCTTGTTAGCAGCTCTAGGTTGATCTCCTTCCTGCAACACTTCAGATCTGAGCATTGAGGGTACCCCAAAAATTAATGCTTTACCACATCAACTCCTTCATTCTTTTCCTTCAATTTCCAAGCACCAGGAACTGTCACATCATTGTCATTCAGCTGCTCCTTCCTTGATTCCACACTAGCCCAGTTCTTCCCCTCCAGTCTTGTTCAAGCTTCTCCCATGTCAACATCCCACTCTAACCTGAGAGTACTCCTCCTGTTTCCCTGAAGATTGCCTACTTGTTCAGGGACTAGTTTTATTTATAAAGAATATTTATTTTCTTCCACTTCTGCAATTTCTCTTCCCTTTTATTCTTCCCCTGCAAGCCTTATGTAAGCCCAGCCTCAGCTGACACCTCCACAACCATGTCTATTCCATTTCCTCCTTCCCTGTTTTTGGGATTTCACTCCCCAAAATGACCTAAAATACAGGATAATGTTTTGATCAGAAGATGTGAGGGAAATAAACCTCATCCAGTACAAGTGCTTTGCTTGAATTCATCTCTGCTGTCAGCCTGTTGGTCACTTCCTTTCACTCCTGGCTAAGCAGACTTAGAGCCTTTGTTTGTAAGTGACAAAATGAGAAAATTCAGAACTTGCCTCTCCAAGGAGATACTTCAAAGCACATTTAGCCTCTAGGATTGTGGCAATGTTGTCCCAACGCTGCTTTGCACGGTCTCCATTGTCTGCATCCAAGAGTTTCTGCTGCAGATCTGCTATCTGGGCACTCCTTTGGAAGGAAGCATGTAGCTGAGGTTACAACACAGGAGAAAACCTGGGCTAGTGTCTGGGCTACAGTTGCTGTTATCACAGTATCAGACCAAATAGCTCAAGTTAAAATTTTGACTGCTTAATATGACAGCTGGGGTCTGCAGTGCTATACCAGGGCATTTCTCCTTCCCTCCACACTTCCTGTTAGAAGTGCAGGGTTGCCCTCAGGCAGAGATGCTCACAAACAGCTGAAAAAAATAGTCTTAGAGACCCAGCAGTGTCGTCATGTCCCCACAGTACAAAACCACAGCCTTATCATTTTTAGTGTCAGTGTATAAGCTATTTGACTTTCTCCTCTGTTTCACAGAGGAGTTGTAAACTAGAAGAACAAGAGAGGCAAGGCTGTGCAGAGCAGCTTGGTCACAGAGCTTACCTGAGCTCCATCTCAGTCTCCAGGCTTTCAATCTGCTTTGTCAAGGACAGGTCTGTCTCTGGTACCTGCAGGTCTGCCAGGAAGTAGGTGCGTCTCTGCGGAGTGAGCAATAGGTGAGGAAGTGCACACAGGGCTGGACTCTCATCCACAAGCCTGCTAGCAAGGAGCCCCACCATCATATAAGCCTCCCAGTATCTCTCCATAGCTTAAATTCCATTAAAAGCATCAAGTCTTTGATAAAGGATGCAACCCACTTGCACCCATCAGATGCACTGGGTTAAGCAACAGGACAGGGAAGATGGCATTGCCCTCTTTCTTACTCGGAGCTTGATGGGTTGGTTTTCTTTAGGCTCTTTCTTCTCCTTAAGCTGAAGGATATCCTGTGCCAAGATCTTCCTGTCCTCCAGGAGGTCTGCAAGGTGCTGTCGAGCCTCTTCAGTACTAACAAGAACCTCTACTTCGTTTGCAAGCCAGCTCTGGAGAAAAACACAACCAAAACTCAACAACTCCATGCAGTGGTTCACTGCATCCTCAGCACCAAATGACCACCCCACCTCCCTTAACATGTAACTCCACATTCCTCCCCTCTGCTCTCCAGCCACCAACCCCAGCAGCACCTACTGCTGCTCAACCAAAGGGTGGCTGAGCACAGGACCACTGAGCTGGTTCCAAGCACCAAGCCTGCCTGAGCTCCAGAAGCATTTGGATGATGCTCTCAGGCACATGGTGCGATTCTTGGGGTGCCCTACAGAGGGACAGGAGTTAGGAATGGATGATCCCGATGGGTCCCTTCCAACTCAGCAGATTCTAAGGTAAGAAAACTAAGCTTGATTGGAAGGTACAACCCCAGTGTCACCCACTTTGACTCGTGCAGCAATTCCTTCCATGCCCCGACTCTGGGTCTCCTTCCTCTTCTCCGCAGCCTCTCGCCGCTTCTGCAGCGCGTCCTTCAGGCGCTTGTTGGCAGCTGCTGCCTGGGGAACAGCACAGACAGACACTGCTTACCTCACCTCGTCTGCAAGGGCTGCAGACATAGAGGCAAGAAGAGAGCAAGAGGGTCATGAAACCCAAACAACTTTACAGTGAAGACCGGAGTCCTTGACTTGATTTCCTTTGCTGAGATTCCCAGCTGAAAGGGAATCAGATTCTAGGCCAAAGGGTAGAAAAGAAAGCACCCAAAATAGTTTCAAGATGCATTTCTTCCATGCAGCCATCCTGAAGCAATTTTGAGCTGCAATCTGGCATATCTACCACCCAAGCTCACTTCACACTTTCCAGCTTGGGTACCTGAAACAGATTTGCCTCAGCAGCTTGATGCTCAGGGGCAATTTCCTCTTTAAGGAGCAGATCTAACTAGAAGCCCTCAAAGGCAACACGAACGTGGCCTTTTTCTACAGAGTGAAAACCACCCATTTTTAGACCCTCAAACTGATTTTATGAAATCTCTGCATATGCTGTTGCAGCCTCCAACCAGACTTTGCAGACCTTCAGGAACTGGTCAGCAGCTTCCAGCAGATGTTGGCTCCTTACCTCCTCCGTTTTGCGCCGGAGCACGTTGGTCTGCTTCTGGAAATCTCTTTCCAGCTTCAGGAGCTCATATTGCCTCTTGCGATCCTGCATGGAGACAGAGGGCAGAAAAAATCATGTCACATGAATACCTGTGGCCAGTGTCATACTTCCTGGAACAGAATCATGACACTGCTCTGCAATGCAAATGCTTCATGGTGATGATTTCAGTGAGCGTTACAAGCTACAGCCACATGGAGCCTGTGAGAACAAATGGTTGTCAGGCTGAAAGTGGCTTGAAGGAGCTCCACATGAAAAAGGTTTAAAGAGACTGCAGAGCAAAAGTTGAAGAGAGTGTCCCAAAGGTTCTCACAGCAAGAAGCCTGTGAGAGAAGAACTCAGGAGCTACAGATGTTTGCTCTCCAGCACACTTGGGTGCTGCAAGCCAGCTGGATTTCATTAACAAGTCTGTTTACCTGCAGATTCAACATTCCTTTGAAAGTTCAAGTACCTCCCATTCTCTGGCCAAACCCCACAACTTTGAATAATTAAAAGGATTCCATCTATTTGCCTCCAGCTTTAGAGCTGAGCCATGACAACTGTGTTGATGGCTTGAAGGTTGCCAGACACAAGCAAGAGAGTCAATTTACGACAACTGGTGAGCGGTGGCAACCATCTGCACCCATGGCATCTTCAAAGCATTCCCCAGATGTTTTTCAGATGCAAACACTTTAATGGTTTGGTTCACTCTTTGGAGAGGGGTACAGTTTGGGGGCTTATTGTTTGCTCACCCTTTCTTTCAGCTGGATCACTTCCTTGTCCTTCTGTTGCTTCCACTGCCGGAATTTCTCAGCATCCTCCTTCATTTGACGCATCAGCTGAACCCTTTGGCTTTTCATTTCCTGAGAAACAGAAAAGGCTGGAAGAAATGTCCAGTACTCACACTCTGGGTATTTTCAACCTACATCCCCTTGTGTTTCTGGCAGGGAGTGGCAGATGGGAAATATTAAGTGTGCTGCCCCCTCAGAGCAGACACCCAAGGACGCTCTCAAAGTGCTAAAGGGCAGGAGGTAATTTTTTTTAAGGCATAGAGGGCAGACAAACACAGAGTACACATGGAAATCAAAGTGAAGTCAAGTGATTTGACTAAGGCACTAGATTATCAGAATAGCCAGAAGACACTTTGTACTTCTTTTATTCCTTCTAGTCTCAGTCATCACCAGCCTGTTATTACACCAGCAATTCTGGTCACAAAACCAAAGGCATCTTGCCAAAAACTGGTGTTTCAGTCTAGCAAAACAGAAAGCAAGTGCTTTCTGTCTGGAAGCAGCTTTGTCTACACCAGAACAAGCCTGAGGACTGCTAGAGTTAGTTACCCTGATCTCCTGGTTCAGTTTGGAGACCGTGCGTTCTGTAGATTCCTTCAGCTTTAAGAGCTTGGATTGTTCATTCAGCTTCTTCTTCAGCTCATTAATTTGCCCTTCCAGCTCCTGAAGTCTTTTCCGACGCCTTTCACTCAGTCTGGAAAGAAACCACCTTTTAAGAACAACCCCCCCCAAATAACTCTTCTCCTCAAACAAGTTCTCTCCAACTTCAGAGACGTCTTTTGAAAAAATGAAGCAATTGTGTGTTCTCATCCTCCCCACTGATTGAAGCTCACATGGCACACAAAAGGGGTGCACTGGCAGCAAAAAAAAAAGAGCTTTGACAAATAAAAGTGCAAGACAATTAATTTTCCCAGGTGCTTTAACAGAGTTTTCAGTGCTCTAAGGCTCCCAGCTTGCATAGTCACTCTTACTTGGCTTGGTTGACGTCCTTCTTCGCCATGTGCAGAGCAAGGATCAGCTCCTCCTTTTCTTTTTGCAGACTGCTGACCTCCAATTCCAGATCCTTTATGTTAGTCTAGGAAAGACAAGAGTAGTAAGTCTCCAAATAAAAACCTTGAAACTCCACCCTGAGAAAAAGCTGTAAGACCAAAGGCCTTAAGAAGCCACATTCCTTTCCAACAGGCTGCAAACCACCTTGTCCAAAAGCAGCCTGAGGGTCAAAAGAGTTAGAACTCCAAGCACTGAAATCTTAGTCCATCCAACCATTGTAACAAGCTCAGAAGTTCCAATTGCCTCATTTCAGATGGGAGATGCCAGCACAGGTAGGGAACAGGGGAAACCAGATCAGCTGACTGTACCTGAGAGTTAACAAGTTACATTTTGGATTGTTGTGGTCAAGTAAACCACAGAGAAATAATAGCAGAGAAGCCCATTTCACAAAGAACAGCTAAGTGGCTGGATGGAAAGTGGCTGGAAAGACCACCTTCTGGTGGTGGAGCTCTGCTGACACCTGTCGTTAACTCCCCCCTGTGCCCAGGGTGGGGATTGGCTCAGCTTAAGGAAAGAAACCCAATAAGAACATGCTCATGAGAGGACAGAGCTTCTCCCTTCCTTCCTCAGCATGCAGTGACTGCATGGATTGGGGAAAAGAAACATGGCCTTGAAAGGCCTGTTTCAGAAGAGTTTACCTGGTACTGGGACTGAATGGGCTCCAGTTGACTATCATTCTCTGTCATTTTTTTGGCAAGTGCCTCTTTCAGAACCAGGGCTTTATTCAATTCAAGCAGCTCTTTGGACATCTGTGCCTGACGGAGGGCATGTTGAGTGGTGAAGTCACCTGAGGATCTCTTGGTGTCCTGGCCCAATTCTGCTTCCTGGAGGAGACACAGCAGTGAGCTGGAGAGACCAGTCAAAAGCTCTTTAAGCAGGTGATCAGAGCTTTTGCAGATTCAGTTTTTACATTAAAAATTAAGAGGTTTAGAAAGGAGAACAGGTTCTTGAACTTGAACACATCAAGCAAACTAGGGTGTAGAAAGGCAGGTGGTGCAGATGTGGCACACATGAGTTACCACACATTTGGATTAGGAAGCTTGCAGAGGAAGAGAATAAAAACATGCCCCTGTTGAGATATGTACTGCTGGACTCTGCTCACTTACAGCTGTAGCATCTTGCTCAGAGTTTGATATATCTGCAGCAGCATCCGTTGTAGCAGCATTTTCACTCTGTATAGGACAAAGAGAAGAAAATTCTGGTGAAAGATGAAGCAAAATGATGCTACTAATGCTCTGTTGGCCTTCAGAGACAAAGCAGGATGTTATTCTCTGCCCAGAAAGCTCTCTCTGGAAAGAGGATGCCACTGTCTTCCTCCTTTAGTAAAGTGAGGATACAGCTTTTAGACTAGCTGGACAAAACAGCCTTTCTAGTCTTCCCTGAACTCCAGCACTGGCAGCCTCACCAGGAGTCTGGCAACAGAAGGAATGTCTAGCAAGGGAGAAAGAAGTTCTTCAATTAGACAAAGACTGGCAACTTCTAATTAACAAGTTCAGGTCTTAATAAAACTGCAGTTTATAACTCTCATTCCAACTTTCAGGTTGTAAATACCTCCTGATCTCCCAAGATCAGGTTCCATGATGAAGACTCTTCCTTTTCCCCCACCCCCTTGGAATTCCTGGGATTGGGAAACTCACTTGGCACAAGCTCTTTTCTCCCTGGATTCAGTCATACCTGCAACTGAGCCAACACTTGCTGCAGGTCACGAATCACCTCTACATTGTCCTTTAGTTCCTCATCCTCCACAGTCTCTACCAGCTTCTGCAGATCAAGCTTGCACCTGCAATGCAAACATGGGAATAAAGCCAGGGTGGAGAATGGACAGAAAATAGTCTGGAGAAGGACTTGGGGGTGATGGTGAAGGAGAAGCTCAACATGGGCCAGCCCCACGTGCTAGAGCCCAGAAACAACCCGTGTCCTGGGCTCTGTCACCAGGGCCAGGGAGGGGATTGTCTCCTCTGCTCTCATGAGACCTCCCTTGAGAACTGTGTCCAGTTCTGGAGCCCCCAGCATAAGAAGGACATGGAGCTGTTTGAGTGAGTCCAGAGGAGGGCACAGAGATGATCCAAGGGCTGGAGCAGCTCTGCTCTGGAGCCAGGCTGGGAGAGTTGGAGTGTTCAGCCTGGAGAAGAAAAGGCTCCAGGGAGACCTAGAGCACCTTCCAGTGCCTGAAGGGGCTCCAGGAAAGCTGGGGAGGGGCTTGGGACAAGGGCAGGGAGGGAGAGGACAAGGGGGAAGAGATTAAAACTGGAAGAGGGAGATTGAGGTGAGACATGAAGAGGGAATTCTTTGCTGTGAGGGTGGTGAGAGCCTGGCCCGGGTTGCCCAGGGAAGCTGTGGCTGCCCCATCCCTGGGGGTGTTGAAGGGCAGGTTGGATGGGGCTTGGAGCAGCCTGGGCTGCTGGGAGGTGTCCCTGCCCATGCAGGGGGGTGGATCTAGATGATCCATAAGGTCCCTTCCAACACAACACATCCTATGATTCTATGATTACACACCATGTTTGTGTCACACATGCCAATGAGGAACAAGCTTTCCCCACTGACCAGACAAAAGAATTCTGGAACAAATACAAATTGACTGTATCCAGTTTATCCCAACAAGATAATACTGAAAGACATTTCCTCAACATGAGCACGGGGTGGAAACAGACTTACACAGCATGTTGCTGAAGTTGCTCTAGCTTGGCATTCATCTTCTCATTTTCTTGTTCTGTCTGAGGGAAACCAGAATGATACTGAGTTGCAGGAATACAAAGAGGAGAGTCTAGGAAACAGCTAATTTATTTGTAGCAAAAGAGATATTGTCAGTCTGTGGCAAAACAATGTCCTGAAAGATCTTGAATGATCATCACCAGTAGTTTGTCAGTCTTAGCAACCTTTTTCCTAGGAATATACACTGTAGTGGATCAAAAGGAAGCAGAGCAGAGTGGGGAAGAGGGAGGACACATCCTCAAGTGCTGGTAGTTAAAACGTTAAAGCAACAAAAAAGCTCAAAGATTCAGGTTCTACTTTTCCCCACATAAATCACCACATCTATAGGCTCTGACAGGCTCTGGAAGAGTTTTGGTCCTGCCTGAGAGCTGGAGGTTTGAAATAAATGTGAAAGGAACATTAGATTCCTAACGTGCCATTTGTACACGAGCTGCTGTTGATTAATCATCAGTTAAAAGGGAAAGTCCTCCAAGTTCAAGCTCTTCCTGGGTAACTGAGTCTTACCAGAATGATCCTCTCCAACATCTGTGCTGTCTGACCAGCAGCCTCGCTCAGGCCTTGGCTGAGTTTTTGGTTCTCCTCCATTAGCAACTGGTTCTTCTCCATCAGGGACTGCAGATTCTCAGATGGTGCCATACTGCTGAAACATTAAGGACCAGTTTGCCTGTGAACAGAACTTCACTGGAGGTCTGTAACAGCACTGACATCACCTCCAAGTTCCCTAGATAATGTACAGTAAATACAGGCTGGAGCAGATGAGAAGAAATAACTGGAGGAAGTCTAATCTGAATTTAAAAAAATAATGTTGTGCTTTTAAAGCAAGGGAGATGGAGGTACCCTGCCTTCCAGGGGGTGAGAAAGAGGGATGGATGGGCCTGAGAAACAGGTACTTAGGAGGCACTGCCAGTTCCTGCAACTGACTTTTGCAATCTGAAGGGGCTTGCTGCAAAATTAACTGACCCATCGTCAGAACAAAAGAAGAAAAAAAATGCCCAGATCCTCTTAGAAAGCACCTGTTTTCATCTTTCCTTACTCTAGAGCAGCACCTGGAGCAAAATGGATCTAGAGTCTTTGTTGGTGTGTGAGGGCCAGATACACAGAGCATAGAGAATCCAGAAACCTTACTTGATAGACATTGGGAGGGTCCCTCCATGGGCCTGCAGCAGTAACACCTGTAGCTGTTGTACCTAGAAAGACAAACAATCACTATCTGTAAATCTCTGCCCTGCAGTCACTGGATGGAATACTGTTAAGATCCTTAGTCTCTACACTTGCTCCCCAATTGTTCTTTTCCCCTTGTAGCTTCAGCAGCAGCCAGTGATTTGTTCAGTGGAAGGGAAATGTAAATCACACTGACACTACCATTCTTCTATGGCATTGAGGAGCTGCTGTAGAGTTACAAAATACTGATGTATTCCCTGCACAGCCCTTACACAGCCAGCTCAAGAAGGAAACATCACAAATGTCTTTTGCATATTTTGTGCAGCCAGTCTTTAACTGCCATTTAACTGAGCTCAGCACCAGAAGGACAGATCTAGAATCAAAGGATCCTTTTGTTTTTAAAGACATGGAAGATCAAGGTCAACCACTAACTTAAACTGCCAAGATCCACTCCTCCCACAGAGCAAGCTCCCAGTACCTGCTGCTTCAGATGGTTCAGCTCAGCTGCCTGAGGGTCACGGTTGACAATGGGTTTGTTTTTTATTTTCCTTGCTCTGTCAGCATAACGCAGGGTATTCAGAGTTTCCTCTAGGTTGGAATCTGCTGGGCTCACACAGGCAATCATCAGAGTGTGGCTGTTACCACCCAGAGAATCTGAGAAGTAAAACAAGGCATGATCAGTGCTTTAAGAGCAAGAATGACTAGTAGGAAATCATCACTAAGACATCCACGACCACGAGTGCATCTCCACACTAGAAAACATCTAGCTCTGGGTACAGAAAATAACTTGCTGTAGGTGTGCCATTGTCACTTTTCTCCCCTGCTCACTATGATACTAAAGAGCTTCTTCTGAAAGCTGAAGTCCCAAAGTTATGCCTCAGCTCTAAGTAGTGATGATTTCACATCAGCACCCCCAGTAATTTTGTTGTCCCTCTGAGTAATTGCTGGAATTTCTGTATGTCATTTCTGGATTAGTTCTCTCTCCTTTTACCACATGATAATACTCAAGACCTCCATGGATATCTAGACATCATAGATCACACTATCTCCAGTGTAAAGAATTACTGGCTAAGAACATATTTGTTCAGATCATCAAGATTGATGGCATTTTAGCCTTTGGTTTTACACAACACATACTGGCTACATAAAACCTCTGGTCAGAAAAATAACACAGGGCCCACCACCCAGCTCTGCATCATAAGAGTTTCTTTGTGTTATTTGATATTTTCAGATATGGAATATACTGAGGAGCATAACTTCTGGTAACAAATCATTTAACTACAAAACCATTTAACTACCAAAAAGAAGCCAGTAAATTGCATTACTATAGCTATGCCCATATTAAAGGTATATTAGACAAAATGGGTTAGACCAGGATTCAGACTAAGAAAACAAAACAAACATGATGTGCACAGTGAGGGCACAAGCAGCTTGAGCTTCATCCTGGTTGTGATATAAGCAGGAAGCTTATATCACAGGAAGCAGCTATAATCAGGGTATAATCTCTGCTTCCAGGCTTGCTGCTTGTCTTCCTTCTCCCCCTGCCCAAAAAAATGCTCTGGGTTTGTCTAGTTTTCTCCCATCACATAGAACCTGCAAAAGGGCAGTGCATTTCTAACCTAGAAATAAGGAGTGCAGAAAAGGCTTAGCTTCAGTGAGCAGGGGAACTAAACCAATAAAAACAATCCCTTTCTCAACTGCAGCTTCCACCCTGAACTGTAGGTCTATGGCTCTGGGGGTTTTTTGGCTACTTTGTCATTTAATGTGCATCTCTAGATTTATCATCACTTGCCTCTTACCTTGCAGCAGTCTGGTTAGCTTGGAGTCTCTGTAGGGAACAAACCCACCCTTTTTATTCTCATCACCAAGAGCACTAATCACATTCCCCAGGCAGAGGAGACCTCGGTTTATGTTGATGCCTGCAACAAACAGATGATGGTGAGGAGAGCTACCTCAACAGTTAGTCATTTCCTCTCCTTTTAAACAATTCATTAACCTTTAAAATGGGTTTTTTAAGAATTGCTTTGCTTTTCCTGACAAGGACTCAATTTATTAACCCAAATGATAAGAAATCCAAGCTATACCAACCAATCTTTCTCCTACAAACCTTCTTTTAGTCTGTCTCCCTCAGCTTTGGTCTTCTTTTGTCTCTCAGAGCCAGCAAGATCAACCAGGTGTAGCTTGGAGTGAAAACTGTTGTTCCTATGGCAGAAATAGACTGGTTCACTCTCCCAAGTAAACATGCAGTTAGGAAAGGAGAAGCCCAGTGGTTACTACAGTTGAAAAATAGATTTCATACCCAAGACATGCAAACAAAGGAGCTACCTCAAGAGCAGGTCAGCTGAGTTCACCCAAGACCAAGAGAGAATGACAAGACTACACAATTTTGAGGAAGCCTGACCCCTACCAGCTCCTAGGAGTGGCCGTGTGCTCACACTTACTTGTCACTTTTCTTTTTCTGGTCAATGCAGATGGTGAAGATGGCATGGGACCTGGAGGACTGGGAGTTCATTGCTGTGGAGGCCACAGTTCTGGAGTTGTTCCCTTGCTCTAGGCAGGACACAGTGTCTTGGGCACAGGTGACATTTCTTTCTGTTAGCCCTACAATCTGTACCCAGGAAGAAAGTATGATTGATCCTCTATTTTCACCTCCATTGACATCAGAAAAGTCATCCTGCCTTAGGTACAGCAGAGGAAGTGAAGTCTGTTGTGTAAATACTCATTCCCAACAATCAGTCTCACTGATTTGTTCCAAACACCACACCAGTAACCAAGTCACATCACCTCTCCCTCACCCTGCTCCTATAGGCACACACCAAGTTCCTCTGTGCCTGCTTGAGCTAATGGGTTGGATCTTCAGCTACGAGCCAACTGAGCCATGGGATGGAGACAGAAGTTCTCAGAACCCTGTGGAAAAATCCACAGCTGCCCTCTGGTATTCCTGGCCAAGCTGGGAGCTGAAAGTTGCATCAGTCCCAGGCAGAGAAAGTTGAAGCTGGCTGATGGGAGTGGGGTGTTTGTGTGAGCAGAGGGGAGGCAGGTATTAGGGACATAAGGGACAGAGGGGACTAAGTAGCAGGGACTGGTGGTGCTCCTTAGCAAGCCTGATCTTTTCCTGAGGGGCCTGTCTCCCTGGATCACAGGGCACCCCAGTGCAGACAGGGAGCAGCACCAGTCTGCAGAGACCAGAACCAAGCTAAGCTGTGCCTGGCAGGCAGCAGCCTGCACACTGGAGCAGCACAGCTATGGATGGAGGGTTAACCACAAAAGAGGCACCCACAGCAAGCAGCACTCTGTGCTGCAGTGTAACCTGTACAGAACTTTGGGCACTTTGCTTCCCCTCAGAGTCCCTTTGTTGCACATCTCTTCTGCCAAACTGCAGAGTACAATTGCAACAGAGTATAGAGACCTGAAGTACAACATTTTCAGATATTCATCTAAATCAGCCTTCAAAATAAATAAAAAAACCCAATCAGAATAGGACTTGAAAGTGGCTTTGTTGTGAATGTCTAACCCTCTTTGTGTCACTCTGAGCAAACTTAAGGATCACCCAGAGCTCGATTGGAGGGGGATGAGTAGCTGTGATGATTTCAGGTGCACCAACATAAAGCAGTGCTCAAGGAGGCAGAGCTGTTTCATCAGTCCTGAGCAGTGTTGCCCCGTGATGTTCCCGTGCCTGACAGAACAACAGACCTTGATGCCCTCTTTGGGATCCTCCCGTATACTGATCTGAGAAGACCGTTCTCTTGATGGGCACAGCAGGTCCAGAATATCCTCATTGTAGATCTGAAAGCACCAGAACAGCAGCTCAGAGTCTGCAGCCTTGCCAGAGAACACTTCCCAAAAAGGAGGATGTACAATTACACTGAAATTGGGGCTAAGGCTGCATGAAACCCCATCCATTTTACCTTCAGGGAAAGATTCCTAAGACTCAGAACTCACTTCCTGGCAAAATGCTAATGTGGTTTTAGGCTTTAATAAACACCTATGGCCTGAAGGAGGTGGCCTCATTAAAGCTCACTTTATCTGCAATTCCTAACTTTGTAAGGACTGGAAAAATTTTAAAAAATGACTTTTACCTCCAGATAAGAAACTTTGAGGATGAATTCCCAGTCCTGCCGTTGCTCCTTCTCCTTAAACAGCAGCTTGATTACCCTGGGGATGACCCCCACATTGGGCTCATCCTCTTGATTGGCAGTGTAGGTCCCTCCCATAGAGTAGGTTTTCCCAGATCCTGTCTGTCCATAGGCTAACACAGTAGCATTGTACCCTGGGGGAACAAAGGGCACCCAGATCAGACAGGCATGTGGGAACCAGAGGAAGCTTTGATGAGCAAAGCTAGATTCCACTAAAAACACCCTGCCAAAAAGCACTGTCCCTCACTGCCACTTTACACGACCTACAGCACAGATCACAGGGAGCAACGTGAGGGGAAAAAGGCCTGAAGGGGCTCCAGGAAAGCTGGGGAGGGGCTTGGGACAAGGGCAGGGAGGGAGAGGACAAGGGGAAAGGGATTAAAACTGGAAGAGGGAGATTGAGGTGAGACATGAGGAGGGAATTCTTTGGTGTGAGGGTGGTGAGAGCCTGGCCCAGGTTGCCCAGGGAAGCTGTGGCTGCCCCATCCCTGGCAGTGTTGAAGGGCAGGTTGGATGGGGCTTGGAGCAGCCTGGGCTGCTGGGAGGTGTCCCTGCCCATGCAGGGAGGTTGGAACCTGATGTCCTTGAAAGTCCCTTCCAACCCAAACCATTCTATGATTAATCAAAAGCTCCCCAAAGCACAGATAAAATTATTATTCCAGTTCTTCTTCAAGTCTGCACTGCTGCTCTACTGACAGAAACACAGGATAAGTTGTGTCTCATTCCAGGTCTGCTGCAGCATCAATAGCAGCTTCCAGTATAGGATGCTTTTCAACGCCTCCTTTAATTCTTGATACAAATATTTGGCCTTATAGAAACAGCTCCAGGAACCAAAGGGGTGCAGTGAATGCACACAGGTAAGTTGTTAGCCCTGTGGGAAGCACAACAGGATCTGGTCCTTCTCTCTGGAGCTGCCTAGCCAGCACAGGGTGTTCTTTTCTGAGAAGACCCAAGGAGAAACCGAGTTAAACTGACCAGGAACCTGGGCAGCACCTTCCCCCACCCACCCGGGGTAAAGCCCCAGGGTTATTACAGCAGCGAGGCAGCACCGAACCTTTGAAGATGCCGTGGATGAGAGGGGCGACGGCCGTGTTGAACACCTCCTCCTGCTCCACCGAGGGGTCGAACACGTAGTCGTAGGTGAAGGATTTATCGGTGCCCACCACCACCTGTGGGGAAGCAGGCTCAGCGCTGCCCACCGGGCCCGGGCAGCACCCCCGGGGCCGGCCCGGCTCCTACCTGCGGCTCCCCCGGCACGAAGGACAGGCAGCTCTGGCAGCCTTCGCTCGTCTCCTTGGGCCCCAGCGGCCGGCAGCGCAGCGCAACCCGCACCGGGATCCCCTTCTCCTCGTCCCGCACCATCTTCGGCCGCCCTGAGGGGGGAACGGGGCCGGCTCAGAGCCCGGCGGGAGGAACCCCGGGCTGGGGGGCCTGTGAGGGGCCCGGGGAGATGCTGAGGGGCCCGGGGAGATGCTGAGGGGCCTG